TATATATATAGAGTCAATTTAAGCTTGCAAATAAATAAACAAATAAATAAATAAATACCTCGACATTTAGAGGACGAGTTCCTGCACCGGAAGTAGTCGCTAGAAAGCGCACTTTGTGTTCCGGGTCAGTCTCTGATCAAGAACGAACGGGATGGCGACTCACATGTCGAAGTGTAGGACCTGGAGTCGGTTTCAGAGGTAACATATTTGCCGCTGACCCCTGAAATTTAAAACACGAACACGGTTCAACCAGCAATGTGCCACGTAGCGCGCTTTACAACTGTTGTGCGTCATTTTCCAAAAGATTAGCTAAAAGTTAGCACGATGCTAAGTGTCTGTCGTTGGCTATTGTGGCTCAGTGGAAATGAAAATAAAGTCACTTTAATTAATAAGGTAGTTTTTTTGTAAGTTATCTCTGGTCTTAGTCGTAGACTTTTAATATTGATATTTATGTTGTGTTTTCAAAGCTAGTTAATTCGAGCTACATGATTTCAAGTTTGTGCTAAGAGATATGTGGAAAAAGCAAAATACTTTTATATTCATGTCTGAGAAGATAAAGTCAGTTTTACAACATATCAGCAATTAACCTAATTTTTAACACATGTTCTTCAAAGGTTCACCCCCTCAGCTGTTTTAGACTGTTTAACTTCGTGTTTGTGTTTACACAATTTATCGGGAGAGAAGCTCTGTGTCTGCTTTATTTTATTTACATGATCTGGCACAAGTCAAGTGTGTGGTACAGACTTGAGAAAACAGCTCGTGAAAAGGTTGATATAGATAATGTGTCACCTGATGGATATCTATATGTGAATTAAAACAAAAACAATGTCCCAAATCAGTAATTTTATCGAATTTTTTTCCTATATGCTTTTGTTTTTAAACCCACAGAATATTCAGATATTTGATAACTCTCACATTAATTATACTGGGTAAAAGAAATGAACATAGAATACGTGCCTTATGAGCATTTAAGTAAGTTATTCTCTGCTAATTGAGTTTTACTGTTTTCTGAAAGAAAGAAAAAACCCTGTCATTTGATGCACTTTTATTGTTTGTGAAAGGTTTGGGATTGCAGCTTACAGAAAATACAGCAGTGGTGGCGGATACCCTAACATTTCTCTCTCTACACCACTTCCTGGCATCCCAAAAGCACGGTTTGCATCTGTGGATGGCCAGGAGAAATATGAAACCAAAATTACAACTTTGGAAAATGGCCTCAAAGTTGCCTCTCAAAACAAATTTGGTCAATTCTGCACAGTTGGAAGTAAGTGTTAACCATACACACATGTCTTAATTTTTTTTGTCTACATTCAGTGGTTTTTATTTATTTTTTTCTTCCTTTTTAAGTTTTAATAAATTCTGGATCCAGACATGAAGCGAAATACCCAAGTGGAATAGCACACTTTTTAGAGAAACTTGCCTTTTCTGTAAGTAGAAAAAAAATTAACAGCATCCAACGAAAAAAACTTTCAGGCTTTTAAAGTAAACCTAAAGTTTTTTTTTCTTTAGTCTACAGCACAGTAYGGGAGTAAAGATGAAATCCTTCTCACACTGGAAAAACATGGGGGCATTTGTGACTGCCAAACATCAAGGTATTTAACAGTTTGAATTTGTTACAGAAAGAGCCAAAGGAAGATTTTTTGGTAACTCTTGTATTTATATCCCTTTCAGAGACACCACCATGTATGCAGTGTCTGCTGAAGTGAAAGGTCTGGACACTGTGGTCAGTCTACTCTCTGACGCCATCCTTCAGCCTCGCTTGTTGGGTGAGTCCATTTTTGCATCCCAAAGAACAGCTCAGGTGTTCTCCTGCAGAGGCATAAACGRTGTTTGTTTAAATGCAGATGAAGAGATCGAGATGATCAGAACGGCCGTGCGCTTTGAGTTAGAAGACCTGAACATGAGGCCGGATCCGGAGCCGTTACTCACCGAAATGATCCACTCGGTGAGTGACATTTATGATGATCTCATTAAAGAAAAAAATCCCAATTAGAAAGAATTCAGCTACTAAATTGTATGTGAAAAGCCTAGTTGGTATAGTATCTGTATGGTATCTGTTATTACGCACCGTGTCAGCGCTCTGGTTATGAAGAAATGTTGGACTCCAGACATGAGGGCTAATTTGTGAAAGTTTGATCTCTTCCAGGCTGCCTATCGAGGAAACACAGTCGGACTGCCTCGCTATTGTCCCGCGGAAAACGTGGACAAGCTCGACAAGAGCGTGCTCCACAGCTACCTGCAAAACTACTACCGGCCCGAGCGCATGGTGCTGGCAGGCGTGGGCATCGAGCACGAGCAGCTGGTCGACTGTGCACGGAAGTATCTGCTGGAGGTCAAGCCGGTGTGGGGCAAGAGTTCGGCCGCTAACGTGGACCTTTCTGTGGCCCAGTACACCGGTGGCATAGTGAAGGTATTTACAAGTCTGCTAATGTAACACACACAGAAAAACGGTTGAATAATGGAAAAATAATCGTATTTCCTTTAACGTGTTAGATGGAGAAGGACATGTCTAATGTGAGCCTCGGCCCCACACCAATCCCAGAACTCACCCACATCATGATCGGCTTGGAAAGCTGCTCCTTCCTGGTTGGTGTTGTGTTTCAGAGTCTGAATCTGGGGATTGACACGTTTTGGGTAAAACACGTTTGTTTCACAGGAGGACGACTTCATTACTTTCGCCGTGCTGAACATGATGATGGGTGGAGGAGGCTCCTTCTCTGCAGGAGGACCTGGGAAAGGCATGTTCACCCGCCTGTACCTGAACGTGCTCAACAGGTGAGCCTCTCAGACTAAAACTCACTTTAAYATTTGAGGTTTCTGTTACATTTTATGATGCCTCTCTGCTGCAGGCATCACTGGATGTACAACGCCACCTCCTACCATCACAGCTACGAGGACAGCGGCCTGCTGTGTATCCACGCCAGTGCTGACCCCAGACAGGTGCGTACAGCAGCAAGGGATGGAAAACTGTATTTGTAATCAAAATTTACTTTCATTATTTTTAATTTAAAGATAGARAACTCAAGTTGTAGCACAGCCTTGTTACTCTACTGTTATCACACCAAATGTCATAATTATTAAAATTATCGTTTAACATTCAGTTTTTCTATTTTAACTGCTGGAAAGTATGAAAATTTTGTTACAACTTAATTACTCATATAGGTTTTATATTTGATCTAATTATTAATATGTATGCGTCCAAAAAAAAAGGCTTCCAGTATTTTTTTTATTTATTACATCTTCCTGACTACCAGGAAAAAAAATATTGTCCAATTACCTTTTTTTTTTAATTCCACAATTTTTGTAAGGTTATTAGAATACTGAAAATTGTTTTTGGGAAAAAATTTTTTTTACTTTTGATATATCTCATGTCTTCTACAGTGGACATCAGAACACCGTACATGTGAAACAGAAATAGCTGCCTATTGCAGGCCTGATTAAAAACAAAAAGAAAATAATGCTAGTATACATATGTTGGCTGTGAAGAAATATTATGAATATTTCTAAATGTGATTCTGTGGAAAAGTTATAGAAGTCTGATAACTTACCTGTAAAACTGACTCGGTGAAAAGTTAGAAAAACTAATTTTAAACCCGACAGAATCTACAAACTAGCGGCTAGTGCTAAAGTAGCTAAAATAAAGGTGCGTTGATGCCATCTTAAAACATCGTACATGTGAAACAGAAATGGCTGCCTATTGCAGGCCTGATTAAAAACAAAAAGAAAATAATGCTAGTATATGTTGGCTGTGAAAAA